CGGATGGTGGCAGGGTGTCGAAATTGAACATTACGAGAGGAAAGTGATTCCCTACATCGGAAAATCGACTTGAAACAGAAAATGCGCCTCTCAGTCGATTGAATCCTAGAACGTTGGCCTCTCAGAAATGTTTTCTTAGCTTTGGTTCCCATTTATGGACTGATTATTGTTTTTAATTCGGGCCAAATTATTTTCGTCTCCACGGCAGCTGTAAAAGAGGCAATTCGAGCGCGCGCACGAGGAGCATCTAAACGAAAGACGGCACTCGCCTAAGTCCGACAGTGACAGCAGTAGCGGCACCAGCTGCGGAGGCAACAGCAGCCCCAGCAGCAGCCCCAGCAGAGGTGCCAGCGGCGGCAGTAGCAGCGGAGCCGCAGCACGAACCGCTGGAGCCTTTCTCCGCCAGCTGGCGGGCAGTCCGGGGCAGCCGCCGATATTCTTCCTGCTATCAGTGGATACGACATGGGATTTCCAGCTGCATTATTGCAGTGAAAGGACAAAGCATGACAAGCTCACAGATGCTATCACCGACCCATGAGTCGGGCCGCATGTAAGATATTCACCGTGTAATGGAGTGCCGTTGCATATGACAGTTTCATCATTTGTATGTGACGGACGGGATATGCATCACGGGCAGCTCTGCCCAATTATTCATATATTGCTCGATCACGGAACATGAGACATCCCATTCTCAGTGCATAATGCGTAGCTGACATCACGGTTGCGGCCAAAGGGGGAGAGTGTGTGTGGTGGGGGGGGGGGGGGGGGGGCGGTCCCGCCCTTTCCAAGCCCCAAAACAGGACTCCCGACCAAAGTTAAAGATCGGCGTGACTCATACTTGCTATTCACCGAGCTCCGCCCCCACCCCCCCTGAAAAAATTATGGCTCACGCGTGTTCGGTTCGCCACGAACCCCCGCTAAGAAGACAGCCCAGAAACGGGGATCTGACACCACATGAACAGCATAGCACATGGTTTTGTTTGGTCAGCAAGTGTAGATGTGCTCGATATTCAGCAGTGGTTCCGCAAGAATCGAGCCTCGCGTGACGCTTGTCAAGCCAAGTAACTTGGTTTCCGGTGCCCTGTCGTTGAAAAAGGCAGTATTACTCACGCTATGACCGTAATAGTCCAGTAACTGTCGTGGGCATTGACACAAATGATGACCCACTTTCGAACTCACCATGAGTATATGCAGGTCATGAACTGTCCGTTTTAGTCCAATGTACGGTTTTCTTCAGCACTTGCCGCTCAGCTCTTCGGTAGCTTTTTGTTTGGTTAGTTCCTCCTCAATCTTCTCTTTCTTAGTGACGTGTTCTACCCACGATTTGTCAGTGACTGACATTTGTCGCTGACTTTTACTGATTGTCAGACTGGCACTGACACACTGACACTTAAGACTCAGACTTAAGTGTGCATCGGTACTGCCGTCAAAACGTCCCTCGCCTCTGAGCCTGAGAATAATTCTCACCGTTTCTAGCAATGTCTAGCAACGGTTTCGTTCCCCCTTCCCAACAGAGCGCCCGCGGGACAGACAGCGTCACCTCCCTCTGACAGAGCGTGTGTGGGACAGACAACATCCCCTCTCCCCGGCAGAGCGTCGGTGGGACAGACAGCCCCCCCCCCCCCCCCCCCACCGATAGAGCGTCAGTGGGACAGACAGCGTCCGCTTTCCCCAACGGAACGGCCGTGGGACAGACAGCGTCCCCTCTCCCCAACAGAGCGTGCGTGGGACAGACGGCTTCCCCTTTCCCCGACAGAGCGTCGGTGGGACAGACAGCGTCCCTTCTCCCCGACAGAACGTCGGCGGGACAGACAGCGTCCCCTCTCCCCGACAGAGCGTCGGTGGGACAGACAGCGCTTCCTCTTCCCGACCGAGTGTCAGTGGGGCAGACAGCGTCCCCATTGCCCATGCCGTGCCGAGGCTGTCCTCTAACCACAGCTGACGTCTCTGCGCACTGAGCCCTAACTCCGCACAAGACAGCAGGCGGCGCCTGGCCCCAACTGCAGCCGGCATGGCCGCCTTCCAGGAATGCCCGATTAACAAGTTTGGCGGAATCAACAAGCTTTGTCGGCTTGCACACGGAAGGGCGTGTTTTTACGGATGTTGCCACTGGCTCTGTGCTCTATGGACGACGCTTTTGGACGGTGCCTGTATAAATCCTTCAGCGCTGATCTGTATCGTGACAGGCATCGGCCGCGAACACGGCTTGCCTCTGCATGGTCATACTCCCCAAATACGCTCAACCCGTCCACTGGCTGTCAGCACGTTTTTCTGCCAGGCGCATCTTGTGTCATGCAACGGCCTGTTGCGTTCCACTGTCCTTGCGGTTGCGGGGGCGTGCTTTTGCTCGTTTTCGGAGCTAACCTGGTCACGTGCTACGGCGTCACCGCCCTCTCCTGTCACGTGTTGACAGCGCCACGCCGCAACCAACGAGCTGACCCCACAGTGGCCTGTGTCGCAGCTGTGCCGCAGATGCCATCGCGCCGTTCACGCTCCCTTGAGAGACATGGAACGACATCACAGCCACCGTGGGGGCGTCACTCTCGTCGCACGCAGAAAGGGTCTCTGATGCGCGCGTGGAAGTCTGCATCTCAGACCGGGCGACTCACGCACGTGCCCATGCCGTCAGAACGCGCCGCCCGTCAGGGCCGCGAGTCCGCAAGTAGCATGAGTCAACTGACCGTCGCACCCGCTGCGGAGGTGGCCCGAGTATTGAGCGGGCTCGGGAGGCCTCGCCGTGTCGCGCAGGATCCTCCCACGACCATTGGGAGCCGCCGACCGAGCCACTCTGCATGCTGCCCCGCCCAACGCATGGCATCCCACACAAGACGCTCAGCGGGCTGGTTACAGGCTCCAAGGACACCGTCGAGGCGATTGATCGCTGTCTAATGCACGGGACGCGCGCCCACTGGAACGTGGCAGGGATGGCCCGTCAGTGCAGCCGTGGACCGGCACGGCTGAGTGGCGCTGCGCTGAGCGTAGTTCGAGTTTTCGCATTGAATGGGCCGACTAGATTGGAGGGCTTCTTTGTGTGCCAACTTCATCGATGGTAATTAAAAGGAGCCTTTTCCCTGAACTTTGCTCTATTTCATGATGTCTGCCCAACAAATCGTTATCCAATGCATCCTTGACCATGTTCATAGATTCTCTCATTGGTTATGCGGACTGCAGGCTATCCATGACGGATGCTATGGACGGCACTAGATGATCTCAAAAACTGAGCTGACCGATGCCAAACGTTTAGCTGAATGTCATTTGAGATTCCTGAATCGGTTTTACGGCCGCCGTTGAACTTACAATGCGTGCACCGCACCCAGATTAGTAGCATTTATCACCAATCTGAAAGCGAGCAACTGGAACATTTTGAATGGCCTCTTGATGTCACAATCACGAGCTGAGATCAAAGGTGCTAGCACGAGTCTGGTATTTCCCACCACAATCGGACAAAGGGTCGGCTGCCCCCGGACATCAGGAGCAGCTGCAAGTGGATAGTGGACAGTCTAGAGGGGCAATCGGACAAAGGGTTGGCTGCCCCCGGTCATCAGGAGCAGTCGCAAGTGGATAGTGGACAGTCTAGAGGGCACAGCTATTGGTGTACATATATGCAACGGTAGCCAAAAAGTAGCCAATAAGCGATCAAGCTGTTCTTGAATCCCGGTGTATAGGCAATGTATCCCGTGTATCCCAAGTGTATCCCGGAAACATATTCGTTTCGTTTAAATTTTATCCTCGTGTCTTTGGTGAATCGGAAAAAAGCAATTCACCTCTCTTTAGGTTCGAGCGTTTGGTCGTAGGCTTGACTTAACATGGTACATGGTACACTATAGTTTTTCCCTTTGAACAACTAGCTGCCACCCATCGTCGTCGAGTTGCAGTTCACGGAATGCATGGATTGGTCCTGATTGTTTGAGTTCTATGGGCTCATGCTTTGACATACATCACCTGTGCGGCGGGGCATGCGTTGATGAAATTTGACCGACTGATCGACCGTTATACCTACCCGGCAGTATCATGCGCCTTATAAGTGGTGGGAGCATCACTGGCCGACAACCAGATGGGCCGGCTGGAGAAGACGCGCAGTTAAGCACTACCTGATGGCTAAGGTGACGCACGCACATATGCAGACCGTGCGGCAAAGGGAAAGTTCTGCAGCGTAACACATGGGAGACGCGAATGGTGAGACGGATTGCACTCATAAACATGGAAAGGCGCACTATGCAAATCAATGCTGACTTATTCGGGAGTATCGACCATTCTGAAATTCCAACACCATTTAAGCGTATGGGACAAGCGGTTAACATTTTTGAATTGCACAGTTACTAAAAAGATGGTTGTAGAAACTTTTCTTGATTCCCTCGTAATAACTTTCATTCTTGTCATCCTTTCGCTATTTCCTTCGAGATACGTCTACGGCAAAATTTAGCCCAAATTTTTGACAAATAACCAGTTACGGTCAGGTGAGAAAGAAATGGGTGAGGGAAAGAGAGGGGAGAAAAGTGAGTTCAGTCGACGTCGAGGGCAAACAGTTGAGCACGAAGTTTTGACATACAACCAGTTGCGATAAGGCATACTAGCCCTCAGTTCTCCGAGCACGAAAGCCGATTCTGCAGACGAATTACATCGGGATCCAATGAATGGCAAAAATAAAGATGCTCTTAAATTCTCGGGAGATTCTCGGACGTCTACACATCAGCCTTAAAATAGCCTTCGGTTGAACCAATCTCCTCCTTGATGATGAGAAAGTCTTCCTTTCAATCGAGCATAGCGACGCGACATTAATTTGTGAAACTCCCCAAATCCTCTTGTGGTATTTTTCCTTCTGAACCGTCTCACTATTTGCTTTGCAGTGCGTCTGCAGTGCAGCATTCTAACAAAAACACGAAACTATTGAGTGCCTTTAATTTGTTGCAAACGGACATGACCTGTGCTAGTCTCTCACAGCCTTTCATCGACACTTCTGGCTGCATGTGTCCCCCAGACCCACTGCGCACCCCACTCACCTATGTAGCGCAGGCCAGCGCGGTCATCCTTCGGGTACGTCTTGCTGCCGCGGTGCACACCAGTCAGGCCATCTCTCCTCTGTCCCCACACCGACACGTCCTGCTGTAGCAGTCCCCACAGCCGCGCCCCACCAGTCCTCTCGCCGCACTGCAGCACCACTCGCCGGCCGTGCACCCGAGGCGGCGCGCCCCACGTGCTGCTCGCGGCCCACCGCGCGCGTCTGCGCCGCTCCGACCGCCCTGCACGCAGCCGGCCGCCGGCTCCAGTATCACAACTCTATATTCGGTCGAGCGACGCGTGCGCAGGCGCTGAGTCGAAGCCGACGCGGCCGACGGAGCCGGCGCGGCCGATCACCGCGGCTCCCCGACGCCGTCTGCGCCGCCGCCGTATTAGGTCGGCACGCTCGTTTACATGGCGCGCTCGAATTATTCATGGTCGCCCGTGGCCGCGGGCGGGTCGGGGCGGGAGGGGTGGGAGCGGGGGCGGGAGTGGGGGCGTTAGGCGGGAGAGGGAGGAATGCCCCCGGACATCCGGGCGGGGGGGGGGTGATCGTGCCGACGGGTTTTCTGTCCGCGGCGCCGGCTAAAAGGGGCGGATTAGGCGCGTCACTCCGAGTGATGGGGAAAACAGGACCTGTGGTCGATTGTCTCATTGTGAGCGCAGAAAGAAACCAGTCCACGCCGGTAAAAATACCGCGGAATGGGCTGTTACAGAGCAGTGGTTTCTCCAAGCCGGAGAGGCGCGACAATAGCCGACCCTACCTATCCGGCGTCCACCCCGCGAGCTTGCTGTGAGCAACAGCGATTCTGCCACCCGTGGGAGACGCTCGGCTGCCGCACGAGAGGCCGCTACAGACAGCAACGCGTTCAAAGGGCACAGAAGCGCGCACCGTCCTTTGAATAACACGACCGACACGCATGCAGGAAGTTGTCAGTATGACCGCAGCTTGGGCGACGCCGTGTAATAATTGGGGCCGCGCCAGCCGGTGCAAAAGTCCTGGATCCGGCTGTGGCCATATCCCACGCCGTTATCGCCGCCGGGGGCGACACCTACATGCTGTCAGTCACAGCCACGTCGTCCAGAAGAAGTGCAGCTTCTGGCAGCCTGGCTGAGATGTGCAGAGTGGCCCGGCCTGCCCACCTGTCACGAGCCGCTCTCTCTGCTCTCGTGAAGCTTTACAGCGTCACGAGTCGCCGTGACTGGCGCCACGGCGGTGATGTCACCCAGGTTGCGGCAGCCTCCGGCCGCCGGCTGGCAGGAGCGGCGGACGATCGCTGCACTGGCGCAGTGCTTGCAGGCACGGCTCGTAACGCGCGGTCCGCAAACCATGCCCAAGTTGTAAAAAATCGCCGAATCCTCTGATCTTTTCTCAGGCCATTACCCGCCGTGCATTTGTTGCGCCACTGGTTTATTACATCGCGTGAACTTACACCGGGGAGACTCATCGCTTGGGAAGACGTTTCACTTCATAACTGAAGCCCCTTTAGACTCGGCGAAAATCGCTGACCAGTGAGAGGTCATTTGTCACAAACACGCTTACTAAGCTTCGGCACAAAACCTGTATTCGTGGCTGGGAAGAGTAGTTGCCTTCCGTGCGCCCTGCGTCGGTGAGTAGGCTGAATGTGTGAAAACGTATGCATCTGCCGTCGCCTCTTCAGTCACTAGCCCGAAAATTTAAATAATGGTAACTAAAGAAACTGCCAGAACAAAACAGGATGAGACATGGCGCCGACAGTCATGACTGAAGCGAAGGTTGTATCCGAAAACATCAGCAGTAGCTCTAAAATACATGTACCTATGCTTGAAATCCCACGAAGCACAAGTATTGTTCTCCCAGTTTGTTCATGCACGGGATATGCACAAGAAAAGCAACTTTTCTCACTGGAAAAGAAAGCACAAAACAGACCTCTGCGCACAAATACGAATTGTGCCATGCCAGACTCTTGCGAACAACGCAAGGGAACATGTGTTGTTAGCTGATTTGGGGCCGTCTGCGAGACTCCGCGCCGAGCTGCAGGGTCGATTCGCGGCATGCCGACCTTTCCTCGGCACGTTGCTATGTCTACCGCCCGCACCAGGTCACGCGCCCCAGCTGCCTGCGTCTCTGCCCTCCGGTGCACCGGCCGGCCAGCGGTCAAATCCAGTCCAGCCCGAGCGCGCCCGACCGAAACGCGGGAACCCGATCCGCGGGGATCTCAACGCAGCCGCGCGGGGACCACCGGCAGCGCCGCACGCGCAAACCGAGAGACTGCGACTACGGCGCGCGCACGGCAGCGTAACACGGCCGGGCGCCCCCGTGGCCGGCCGGCGGGCGGACGGCGCGCGCACGGGCAACGTAGCACCGCCGGGCGCCCCGGCCCCGGCCCCGGCCGGCGGGCGGGCGGGCGGGCGGGGGCGCCCGGTGCTCGCGGTTTCCGCCCCGTTTAAGCTCGGGCTCTGAAGCGCTCCATGCTGGCGTCTGCCGTCAGTCAGATGTGTCAGCTCGCGGCGACGCGATGATGGAGTGCTGATTGGGACCCCGAGGCGCGCCACTGACTGATGTCGGACCGCGTCCGTGCGGCCCGTCGACCTTCTGACCCCACTGCGTTCGGCGCGGCGAGAGCGCGCGCCAAGGTCGCCGGCGGCCGGCACTGCTCCGCTGCACGGCATCCGGAACTCACGGCAGCGCGAGGCCGAGCGCCGCCCACGCCCCAGCTACCGGGGACGATGACTGGCCGTTTCTGAGCCAGCCGCGCCGACCCGCGACTCACCGCGCTAACTGCGCTTTAACGGGCGCCATGGCAAAAATATACAGATGCTCGCTCGCTGACTGGTCCGGGCGCAGCCAGGAGCCGGCAAGCCCCGGATCGGCCACATTCCAGGCGTGGGACTTTGGAGACCGCTGGGAGACCTGGGAGCCGACGTGACACTCTCCACCGATGTCGTCATTCGGCAGCGAAGGCGCGCTACGAGGAGCATTCGACCAGTGCGCCGAGCCGTCGCTCGACCCGGTCTTCGGGAATGGAGCGCGCCCGTCACAGATCCTGCCGCCCGTGACACGCAGCAGGGTTTCTGAGCCGCTCCGGCACAAACACAGCAGGTCCGGTCAAGGTCCCTCACGGTCAGTTCGCGCTCTCCTGGACCGGGGAGCGTCCACCCGCCCGCCCCCGCTCTCTCCGGACCGCGTACTGTGATGCTCCGTTCCTCGTGTCGATTAGCAGCGGAAGACGCCGGCACGCGAAGAGACAGCGTCCCGCGCCGTTTATGTTGGGAGGCCCGGCCGTCATCCGAGGCCGACCAGCACATGAGTCATGACATTAAACACTCAAAACGCATAACAAATACAGCGGGGCGTGCTCCACGTGACGAGATGAGAGCACGTCTCCGCGGTCGACGGCGCGTCACCCGAGCCGCCGGCCTGGTCGGGGTACGCTCCGTGTTCCCTCGCACAGTCACAGACACCGGTCGCGTCACGGGCACCCTCAGGACGCTTTGTCGAGCACCGACTGCAGGGAGGAGGGCACCCATACGCCCCCCTCGCTGATGAAGATGACGCTGCGGTCGAGGTAGATGTGCAGACTGCCACAGCGGAAGATGGGCTTGCCCTCGTGGAACTTGCCCGGCAGTGGGTGCAGCAGGATGCCACGTTCTTCGCATCGACGCTCTAGCAGGTCGCGGAAACCGAGCGGTACCGAGCCGGACGACGCGCGAACCGCAGCCGACAGGTCCTGCCGATGGATGGCGGTCAGTGTAACCCGCCACGTCATGCTTAGACAATGCAAGCCAGGTCAGAGCACGCACACACGTCCACGTGAGCTTGCCTTAGTCAGCGCAAGCACGCGGAATCGCTCCATGACGTAGACCCTGCCATCTGGATTCAACACACAATGATGGGCGTTGGTGGGTGCAGATCAACGTGGAAAAGTATTTGCGGGTTGACTTCAACCACGTTTGACCAGCTGTGGTCCATCACTCTACGTGATTGACAGCCAGGCGCCCGCCTCAACCGGCGGATCAGCACAACCACGACGCACAGCGCCCCGCCATCTAGCGGCCCTAACTAATACTGCCAGCACGCAGCTCGGCCGCGACCGGCGCTGGCAGCGGTCCGCGCCTCACCCCTCTGTTGCGCAGCTCAGTGGTGGAGGGCGGCGGCGGCGGGGGCGGAGGCGGCGGAGGCGGCGGCGGCGGCGGTTGCGGCGGCAGCGGCGGCGGTGGTGGCGGCGGCGGTTGTTCACTGGCCAGCATTTGGCTCAGCTCCTTGTATGAGACGGTCTGGCCGGGGTTACTGGCGGCGCGGTTCATCAGCTGCAGGCCCGTGTTCAGGTGTTCTGGAACCGGACACAACGCTTTCTGAATGGGGTCTCTAATTCGGCGTGCACGGGCGTAAGACAATGCTGGGGATGGAATATCACGCGTGCCTACAGAGCGTGCGCGTAGATCGATGTGCTGGATGTGAGCCTGGTCTGTCACGCATGACAGGACGGCACATGAGGGTACAGATTCAGCGCATGACAGCACAGATTCGAGCACAGAAATGTCTGATACCCACCACTTATTTCTCGCCAAAATGACTACGGAAAGCTACCTATTGAAAGGGGGTATCGACAGCGTAGTGGCTAAGCTGCGCGTATGGGAAATCAGATGCACGAGGTGCAACCTTACGCGGTACCCTTCCTTCCTACCGGAGTGAGATTCAGGCGGCGCCATATGGCCTCAGCAGTTGGGCGCGTCGTAAGGCCCTAATGAAGAGAACACACCTATTAAAGGAGCCAACAATCCGAACGGATTCTGTAGTCAAATGGAATGCTCCACATGTCATTAATATGGTAATCCGGAGATAATGAGCCATGCATCAGATACGATGACATTTTAACTTGTGATTGTTGGCTTGCTTAAAGTACAAAAGGCTTTTCTAAACAACATTTCACTATTTAGTCACCACGCTCCTCGATATGCCGTCGGTTGACTACGTCACGGACGTCTTTATGACGTCAGAGTCGCTGCCAGACTGGTCGTGACAGAATCGCCACTGCAGCGGACGAGCTGACCCAGTTACAGTACTTTAACTTGCTGAAAGGTGGTGGTGTGCGATGGAGCGTGTTTGCTTATCTTCAACAACGTTATCTGCTCGTGTTTTCGTCCTTTCCCGTGGCGTTCTTGTATATTTTCCCGTGATTTTATACCGTCTACTTGCATCCACATCCTCGGGTGTGGCGCTATTCTCGAACTACACGATTCCCAGACTGGTTCCTGCCATAACTCGTACCACTGCCCATTGCCCTGTATTGCGCAGCGCACAACATGATAATTCCTGCATTATGTAGCCTAAAGCGTGACTCGTGCTAGTCCAAGCGCAAAGCACACAACCTGCAGAAGGGTCACTGCGCAGCTCGCACGAGCACGCAGCTCGCACGAGCACGCACGACAGACCGCTATCCATTCTCCTTCCTTCCATAGCCATGAACTAGTCGCTACTGGCCAACAGCACTCTAATCTAAGTAAACAACAACCAAATCGTGTTCGAAACTCGCGCTCAACACATCCATTAATCGAAGACCAACTGATATAACGCGGGACGCTGCAATGCTTGTGTGGTGCAACGACTTGTTTGCTTGTTTGTTTATTAATTGATCCCTGAGGTTGCGCGTATTTTTCTCTGCTCGCTATCGGGGAAGCAATTTATACCTTGTTGTCCATTCGTAGCTGGTCTGTGTTATTCACTGTACTAGATAACCTAACTGATGAATTGCATAAGGCGTTTCTGCTGCTTTGTTATGCAAGCACGTACACACGAGAGTTGCGCGCCGTCGAACGTTCTGGAGCGAGGTCACTCGCTAACGGCCCGCGGCCCCGCAGTATATACAGACCGACGCATGCTGCGTAGCACCAGACCAGTTCCAACCACGACCAGCGTCGCGACTCTGCATAACATCATAATGCGAGCGAGTTGGACTATCATGTGGGCGAATATAGACAACGTTCTTACCTACATTTTTAATGGACAGCGAACAGAAGAGCGCTGATCACGAAGGTGAAACGTCCCAGTACCCGTTGATGCAGAAATCGAGCTGACACACGCCAGACACGAATGACTTGACAATCGTATTGTCATGGCCTTGGACAGTACGTGGCCAGTGAGGCGGCAGCATTCGCGTGACATTTCTATGGCATCCTGCGTGTTTTGGTGAACTTGAGATAGTCTGCGCGACGTGGTCCGCACAAGTGCGCGGCGTCAAGCTAAAAAACAAGAGGGTCAAGAGGTTTACTCTTAAAAGGACATGGCTACAACCCGCACCAAACAATCTTGAAAATGGCTATCTCAGTTCAAAACCTCATACAAATGTGGGAAACCCCCTTAATTTGCGAGCCTGGCTTTCTTCAACCCCTAACAATTGAATAGCAACGGGTCCGCAGGTTGTACGCAGCACGTACAGCTTACGCATGCCCACACCTTTCGCGTAACGCTGCAGCTCCAACGTGTCCAGCTCGCCCACGCGCCTGCGCGCATCGGCACCTGGCGCGCGCGCCGCCAGCCGTCCCTCGGCCCCCAGTGTGCCCGCCAGACTGGTGAGGCGGCGGCCTTACCTCGCACCACGGCGTGACCCACCAGCCGCTCGGGCACGAGCTGCTTCCAGCCTAGGTACCACTTGGTCACTTCCTCGTAGTTGGGGCCGTGGTTGAGCCAGGTCACCAGCACCTGGCGGCCGAGCGACACGGTCACCGAGGATAGACGCTGGCCAGGTCAGGGGCGCGTCACAGCATGGCATGTGGTCACGATGGCAACAGCTTTATACCACACGCAACGATAACAGCTATGTACCACGCGTAAAGGGACCGTCAAACGATTCAGGAAACTTTCGAAAACAGGGACAGAAAACAGTTTCTGACACCAGAATGATTATCAGCATGGAACGAGCCAAAACGTGCATCCAGTTCAGGTGCTCCTCACCTGAATCCACTTCGGGAAGAAGATCTTGCCGAGGATGCTGACCAGATGCACAGGCGAGAGGAGATCTTCCCAGTCCATCACCCAGTTCCACTGGTCCAAAACCTGACCACACACGAATTGACAAAGGGTGAATCAGGAGAAGTGGTAGACATGTCTGTGCAGACATCGCACTACACACAACAGCGAGCATGACTTCGTGAAAAGGCCATGTAGCTGTGACGACCCGTCATGAACATCCTCGGATTCGGAGAGGACTCAAAGACTCCCGAGGCGGCCACTGCGGAGGACGCGCACAAAATCTCCTGCTGCACCATACGTCCTTTTCTAAAGCTACCGGACTATACCAACTCAGAGTCGCAGCACGATCCACTCAAGAAGTGCAGCAATTTTCAAAGCACACTGTTCAACACAACACAGCTACCGTCCCTGACCACTCCGTGCCCTGACGCACGGGCGTCTCCCCACGCCCCTCCCGCCACCAACGTCACCTGCTGGTGCGGGTTGATGACCAACTCGGACATGGCCAGCTGCAACTTGGGCAGGATGTTCTTGACCAGGAACGCCTCCAGGCTGCCAGGCGCCATGACCCCCACCCACGGCGAGAGGATGAGGCGCGCAGAACGGTCAGACGGGTGCCACGCGAGCAACGCGTTCGCCAGCTTGTGCCGGATGGTTGGGTACACCGTCTCCAGGCGCTGGTCTGCCAGTGGGGGGAGAAAGGCGGTCATCACGGACGCGCTGCGACCGTCACGAAAGCGCCACGATCGTCACGGAGGCATGACGACCGTCATGGAGACATCACGACCGTCATGAAGGCATCACGACCACCATGGAGGCATCACGTTGGCCACGGAGGCGTCACGGCAGTCACGGGGGCGTTACGATGCTCACGGAGGCGTCACGATGGTCACGGAGGCTTCGCGACGGTCACGGAGGCATAACGATGGTCACGGACGCATCACGATCGTCACGGACGCCCACAACTAGCCCGTGGACCAAAACTGACGCCGTTGTCAAAACAACGCAGCATCGGTTGAAGTCAGGTGAATTCGAAAGCGGAGACTAAAGAAACAGCTCCGTGCTGTTTGGAGACCCCGCCTGAAAAAACCAACCATTCGGACAGAGCAATACTCCATCACACTGTGTCTTGAAAAGCTGAAACTATGTGTGATAGCGTTCGCCTGGTATCTCTTGTGGGCAGGATGTGTATCTGTGATGGCACAAGTCATCGTAAAATTATTGTTTGCCAAGCTTGCATTCCGCAAACAGAACTGATTGCAGATCTTTCACCACGAATACAACCAACAAGTGCGATACAGCTTAACCATCCATAGAACTGCACGCCAGCTGTAGTGCTGCCTGCAGCTTAGGCAGCGTTCGGCGCAGCTGACGAGCACTTTCCAGCATGAGCACGGCACCTCGGCGCTCGAAGCTGCCTTTTTGCCGCGGCTTCCGAGCTGGTAGTCCGCCTTACCCATGACGGGCATCCAGGGGTGGATCCAGCTATGGGTGGGCACGGCGTCTGTGAGCCTGGCAGTCCGCCTTACCCATGACGGGCATCCAGGGGTGGATCCAGCTGTGGGTGGGCACGGCGTCTGTGAGCCTGGCAGTCCGCCTTACCCATGATGGGCATCCAGGGGTGGATCCAGCTGTGGATGGGCACGGCGTCCGTGAGCGGGTTCCACGCGTCCACCTCGGTCTGCAGACGAGGCATCAGCATCTGGTCGCAGATGTTCTCGAAGATCCAGCGCGGTAGCAGCGACCGCCAATGCTCCAGCAGCTGAGTCAGCTCTGGCTGCCGCTTGGGCTGCCACAGGCTGACGGCCGAGCGCACCGGTGGCATCCACACCTCCCACAGCAGTCTGGGGGGGGGGGGGGGAGGGGGAAGGCGCTTCAGAATATGTCCACAGGCCACGCAGAAGTCTGAAGGGGTTGATGACGAAAAAGTCACGTACAGACATCAAACAATCTCAGGCAGGTGCATCCACTCACACCCGTGCCCGAAGGCAGGCGCTGCGTCGCGTCGCCGCCCGCCGCCGGTCCGTGCGTCGACGGTACGTGCGCCCCAACCCCACCTGTGGTACACGTCCACAGGCACGCCCTGTTCCATGAGCGCGCGGTCGCTGTTCTCCAGCGCCTCCTTCAGCTCGGAGAACACGTCCGAGGCAAACTTGGGGTTGTTGAGCGGGCTCCAGTGCTGCAGGTGGTCCCGCACCAGCGGGAACACATAGTCCGGCGCCAGGTAGTCCAGGTCGAACACGTCAAACTCCACCGGATATTCGGTCTGCGGGCAGAGTCAGAGTCAGAGTCATATCAGCCGGGCACGTGATCCCGCTGACGCGGCTTCCACGCACCAAGTTACATAAAGCCGGTAAGTCCATAAATAGTACGGCTACGCGAGCGCATTTGAAACAACACGTGACGGTGTACTAAACGCAACCATGAAAGCCTACACATAGTACGAGTGCTCGCTTCTCTTTATGACGGCAAAAACCTGGCAAGCTTGATGCGCCGCCGATATGTGGACCACCACAGGGCCAGGGAGTATTTATTACCACTGCCCGCTCAACCCCCCCCCCCCCCCCCACGCCACTAGCGCCGGTGTCAGCACCGTCTCCATCCGCACCTTGAGCTTCTTGAACAGCTTGGTGACGACGTCCAGCGAGCTGGGCGCGTCGGTGCCGGGCCGGTGCTCCTGAAGGTAGTCGACGGCGCGTGCCACCTCCTCCACCCGCTGCACCTGGTGCTGCTGGCGGCTGATGGCCTCGGTCAGCTCGGCCTCCTCGTGCTCCAGCGTCACCTGGCGGTCCCGCTCGTGTCGCAGTGCGCGGTCCGTTCGGAGGATGTCCTGCCGGAGGACGCGGGGTCAGCCGTCTGCGTCCGGCCACACGGTGGAGACGGTCGCAAGACAGCCGTGGGTACCATACACAGGGCTGTACGCACATTGCGTGCTGAGGAGATGCGCTGTGCGGGGTCACGTGGCGAGTTAGCAGATCATCACCTTGAAAGATGCGTTTTACTGGAAGGAACCGCCTCAGGGTCTGAACACGGTCAAACACGGCCTTGAGGGTCAAACTGAATGCAGAGGTCTAATAAGAGCCGCTATTAGAATCAAGCGCAACAACTGACAGATTTCCTTTTTTTATTCAATTACTTCATGTCCTAAAACACAAACAAGACGGATGTGCACTGGGAAAGGAGACCTCACCAATGCCTTCCATCTCCTGTTTTTGATATGTGCTTTAATGCCGAATCACGGCGAATGATATCGACAGTCGCATAAGCGATATTTCCCCGATTATAACAGCGATTATAATCGGGGAGATATAATTGATTCACTTTTACCATCTACCACGTGAACAAGACAACAACCACTGACAGGCTAAAACAACCTACGCGAACCAGGGTCACCCCGTGCCGCACGCCCTGGCCATGCTCCCCACCAAGTCAGGGCCACCCCACGCAGCACGGTCCGACAATGCTCCCCACCAACGCTTGCCATGCACGCGCCCGCGGCCGACCTGTTCGCAGATATCCGCCATCAGGTTGATGTTGTGCAGCAGCTCTGGCATCTCGAAGACGCGCCGGCCGACCGTCTCCTCGTCGGTCGGCTCAGCCGGCGCTCGCTGGCCATGGATGGCGTGGTATCCGGAGAGCACGCGCTGTTCCCGGCCAGTCATATCGATCACCTTCACGCGCGCCAGGTCACCGCTCCTGCGTGCGGGCGGGGCGTCAGCGGCACGCGGGTCACGCCAGGTCGCCGTCAGCCGGTCCCGGAGGCGGTGTGAGGTGCGGGGGAGTAGGCCGTGCTCGTTCAGCGCAGCGACGCGACGGCTGTACAAGACTCCGCTGCACACACACACCGGCGGAAATCGCCGAGAGGAACTTCTTGAACACACTAGCCGCCAACGCATCTGGACCAAAACCTGTGCAGCTCCGTCTGAACATGTCTCGACCGCCAGTTTAATTGGTCACGTGACCAGGCTAGCTGAGCACTGTACTGACATTGTTATTACCGAACTCGCATAACACTACAACAAAACCCCGAACCACGGCGTCCAGCGATCAATCTTTAAAATATCCCCTGCTCCGTCCTCGCTCCCACTATTGCGCAGCAGTCTCCTCCTCCCACCTCCCCCCCCCCACACACGGCCCGCAGTCTCCTCCTCCCACCTCCCCCCCCCCCCACACAACGGCCCGCAGTCTCCTCCTCCCCACCTCCCCTCACCCCACACACACGGCCCGCAGTCTCCTCCTCCCACCTCCCCTCCCCCCACACACAACGGCCCGCAGTCGCCTCCTCCCACCTCCCCTCCCCCAACACACACGGCCCGCAGTCGCCTCCTCCCGCCTCCCCTCCCCTCCACACACACACAGCCCGCAGTCTCCTCCTCCCACCTCCCCTCCCCCACACACACGGCCCGCAGTCGCCTCCTCCCACCTTCCCTCCCCCACACACACGGCCCGCAGTCGTCCCTCACCCTGTCGCAACGGCCGGCTTCAGCGTCCGCGTCTTGCCCTCCTCCAGCACCTCGTCCAGCGTCTTATACACGTAGTCGACCTTCTTGCGGCGCGGGCCACGTCGCCACTGGCCCAGCTTCTCCTTAAACTCGCGCTCCGGCTGGTCGGGAGCGTCGTCGGACGCCGGCGCGCGCGACGCCGGCTTCTCCTTGCCGTAGGCGCCGATGGCGCCGCGGCCCTTGCGCAGCTTTGCCTCCACCGGCGTGGAGATGCCCTGCAAGTTTTTGCCTACGGGCGACGACGTGTGGGGTTAGATGCGAAGAGGACGGGGCGGCGGTAGCGGTGAGGTGGCCGTAGCGGTGTTAGCGTACGAATGCTAAGTGCCGACTGCTACGTCGTCTTCTCATGTGAAAACCTGGAATTCATTGAGCCGATGAAATCTGACTGTGCACAACTAACTGGGTCGCGCGAACAACGGAGGTCGCTGAGTACAGCTATTGATGGCCACATCACACCACGGAAGGCATAACACACACCGTGCTCATCCCAGTGTGCCCCTTCCCACGACAGTAGCGTGCACGCCATCCCGCACTCTCCCACTTCTCAGCCCACCGCTGCACATGCCTTCCGCCACGCCCACGTACCGAGTCCGCCGCCCTCGCGGAAGCCCATCTGCTTGAGCAGCTTGGCGCCGATGCCCTTAGTGTGCTTCTCCCAGTGTCCGATGTCGCCCAGTCCGGCGGTGGGGCCGGCGCCGGCCTGGCTGCGCAGACCGGCCACCTCCTCGCGGCTGGCCGTCTGGAAGCGGCGCTGACGCGGCGCCGAGCCAAAAGCGCGCGGCAGGCCGGCGCCCAGCCGCGGCGCCGCCTCGTCCTCGTCACTGCCGGCGACGGGGTCGGGTCACTGGCGGCGCAGATGAGGGTCGCCGAGGGTCGTCGCCGACGAGACGATCGGAATCACTGGCTGGGGTCACACGAAGGGTCGGTGGCGAGAGCTGGGCAAGGGCCGGCGGCGAGTACCACAAGAAATCCCTGATGCAAGAAGGCGGGTGCCAATGAAACTCTGGGGCGAGCAATTACTGCTGGAAATGGGTGGGTGGGTGGGTGCGGGAGGCCTTGATGGATACTTGATGACAGTTATGGGCTTAAGAACTGAGGCTGCCAGAAGCTGAGGAGTTACTAAAGACCATGGGAAGCAGGAAGTGGTTCTCCAAAAATGGACTGATTGTCCACGAGCAGGAAGATGATGACAAGCACAACTGTTGATACCAAGCACAACAACTTCATATAATTGTGAGAGCTTAAGGCCAATTCTGAAGGAATGATTATGATTTCATCTCAATGTGGGAGGTGCCAAAGATAATGGGGACAGCTGGTAAGTGACCACAAACCTTGAGCCAGGGGGAGGACCAAAACCTTCATCATCCTCATCATCCTCTTCTTTCTTTGCTGGCTCCTCATTCTTTCCCACCTGGTGAACACCTCCTGTGAATGCAGTCCAATCCAGAGACTAAGCCATTTCAGGGGATTGTCACCACAAGGAGAAACAAAGGTAACACATGCCCAAAATACAAATAGCACATATGTAAGATGCATTCAGCACCTATGGTTTCATGCAACCACACATCTTCACATCCTGCCTGAAATGCTTAAATGCTGATTCCAAGAGCTTAACAATGTTGCAGACAGGGAAATGGCACAAGTATATGGCTACAACTCACCTTTGACAAAACCTACTGGTGTTGTGTAGCTCTTCCTGGCCATCTTGGAGGGGCCTGGCTTGTCATCCCCGCTATCGTCAGCGAACACGCCATAGATCTGCTCCTCGCGGGTTTGGCGGAAGCCGCGACGCATGCTGGGGTTAAACTCACACTCAATATCCTGGTCAGTCACCTCAAAAGCCTCCATCTGGTCCCCCATTCTGGCTCAGTGGCTCAGCTTGGAGACCAATGCAGTTAAATCTGAAAGGGCAAAAATGTTATTATGGAAACTTAATTTCCAGGGGTAGATGCCTGATACCAATCCTTTGATGGCAGGTTATGGAGACAATCCAATCAACAGATCAGTTTGTTCTCCACATACAAAAGTCTTATATGCATCCTCATTTCTACAGAAACAAAGGAATAAAGTTAAGCCACACACAAATGAATGGGTAACAAACCATGGCTGGATTTTGCATGTTTAAGAGGCTTGTGATTATGTTGTATGGCAAGAAGTTTCCAGTCTGCTCTAATACCCATCCTAATGGAGTGGTGTCATTCTCTGCCTGATGAATGTGCACACCAAAAACCATTCTAACATGACTCACCAAAAAATGTCAAATGGTGCTCGACAACATCTGCAATAATAAGACTCACATGGCACAGCTGTGTTATGAAATGTAATGCATGGTATATACCAGTATCTTTGGCAAAATGGCACTCCAACTCAGAATTGCTTAACTAGGTCAGTAGGGTTAGAATCAATATATGTTTGATATACTATGCCAGCCATTAACACTACTGGAGTTGCGGGTCTGACTCTGGACCCAGAAATCAGAATTTGGTTTATCACACAGGCGAAAGGGCAAAACAGTACAGCACTTTCATTGCACAACAATTGTTTGAGGTCATACAAAAAGTGCATGCTGATATCTGGCATGACAGGACTAATTTTTCAACACTAGCCCTAGACCTCAGAACATTCACCCAATGGTTACTGCTTGTGTAAATGCTCAGTTTATGCTCAGCTCAGCTTATGTAAAGAAGCTCCATGATATGCAATACAAAAATACATGCCACACCACACATGCTGGGGTAGCAGTTATGCAGATACACAGTAAATCCGAGCTCCCTTGAGTGCTCTGGAGTTTGACACACAGAAAACCACCAATTTCAGTGCTAGAGAGCAAATGTTTGAAGCATTTATCACTGCATGCAAAAATGCTTTCAAAGCATTACTTCAATTGAAAAGAATGTGAAAATTTGATGAATTTTGCTCTGCTTCAAGTTTGATACCAGCATCCACAAAGTTCAATGCACCAATGATGTGCATGTGCCTGAAGGACCAGACCAGCTGAACCAGAGGCTGTTGGAACAGGTTCAGCAATGTGATACCCATCTTGTCCATGATGTAAGGCACCACCATGCCCTGAGAAGCTCAGACTCCTCCAGTTGCCCTCCACTGCACTACTGTCACAGGGGGACATGGTTTCAGCATGCCAACTATTGTTTGATGAGGTATGTCACTGTCAGATGAGGAGTTCCTGATGAGACATAACTCAGAGAAGACAAGAATGCCAATGAAAGATAAGAAAACCCCCAGATAGGACTCTTGTCAGTTGTAGCTCACTCAACATGCAGGTCATCCACAAATGGAACCCTCTCTCCCACCCGGTCTCATCAACCTTGGTTGGACAGTCCAAGTTAAGACTTTTCATACACTGGGCTAACATCATGCATGATATTCCACACTGATTCTACAGGACCAGGAGCCTGACAGGGCCGGAACGGACATGCCCAGCGGCCTTTTATAATTCCCGGCCGCCATAGGGTAAGGTGTGTGTCCTGCACAACAAACAAATTGATTATTCCAGACCAGATATTGACAGGAAGACGGACGGACTGTTGCTCTCTACGCCTGGTTCAAAAACTGAATTAAAATTTGTAGCACCACCGGGGGATTGGCAACAGAAGAAAGCAGATAAGTCAGCGAACAAAACAAGTAATGGCCAGCTTTTCGCCTCAGTGACTTGTTGCCTTGCTGAGCGAATGTCTGCAAGAACCTTCATTAGCAATTAACAACACCAATTCAAAGCCGACTCACCTGGCTCCACCATCAACGCCGCGAGCCTGATTGAACCGCCCCAGACCCACGGAATTGGAATCTCGAACGTCGGCGGACTGTACTACTACGCAAACTTAGCATCGACTGCGCCATAGATGCAAGCGACGTGATGATTCCATATCCGACTTGCTAGAAAGTCGCTAGCTGTGTAGAGGCTTATATCCTGGCTCTCCTCAGATATGGCTGCTCTTCTCAATCATAACATCGAGTCACTCGAAAGATGGATTTGGGTGGCGGGGCTAGCTCGGGAAGAAGTGTTCTAATATTGTCATTAGTGGTTGGTTGCTTCGCTTTGCTATGGCCGAGGATATTCTACCCGATGTTGCAAACGTCTTTCGCATCCGCGCCGGATATTGCGACTCAAGAAGGTGAGTTTGAGGCGGGCAACTGTACGGCCTGTCGCGGCGCGTCACCATTCTGGCCGCTGTTGTCCATAGGAGGAATGAAATGTCTGTGTATTTCCGTCGTGTTGCTCCATGTAGAGGAACAAATTATAGGGCTCAAACTAGGTGCTCAAGCGATGAGTGTTTAATTCTCGTGCTAAGCCAATTTTGGGAGTAATGTTTCAAGCACCAGCAAAATTAAGCAAGGTTGCCTTATGACCTGCATAGTCACCAATTTGCAGCTGATCTTTAACCATTTCCCTAGCTTTTTGTTTTTAGATATAGGTATGATTGGTGTATACAGTACTAAAGCAGTTGAAGGTTTGACAGTCATATGAAATTTCATTGGGCATAATCTGGGTCATACCTTGCATCCTTTTTTGCTTTCTTATCAAGTGAGTCAAAGCATTGAGTGGAAAACCATTTTCCTGTCAGCCATATGATTGGTAAGTTTGCAGTGGCCATGACATTTACAATGCTGCTTAGAACTTTGCTGATGTTTTTGTACTGATTGATGCATATGCAATATATTTACTGGTTTCAGTTAGGCAGGCATGTTTTTTACAATTATGTTTTACAGCCTATGTTTAGGTTCAACAGCTTTAAGTATGGCTGGTCCTTGGATGACAGTTTCAGGCACATACCAGCCCAGCATCCTTCCATGCTGTCACCCAGTGACATTCACAAAGGAACTGAATGCACTCTACTTCACCGAGTTGTGTAACCAGCTGAAGTGGCGGGCTGACCGGCGGCGGGAGGACACAGCGCGCCTCCTGCTCCCACCCGAGCCGCGTCACGACATTTGGACACCGGGCCTGGCCGGCTGGTGTCGGGACGAGCTTGCGCGCGCCTGCGGCACTCTGCTGGACGAGCCGGCGCTCGAGCGGTACCGGCGCGCCATGCACCGCCGCGACGACGGCGACGCGGCCACAGCCAACCTGACGCGCTGCCTGGAGACGACGTACGGCGTGCGGCGGGAGGAAGTCCGGCCGCCGCGGGCGCTGCTGCAGCCAGCCGCAGGCAGGGAGCGACTCTCGGCGGCGCGCGCTCACCGCACGGCACGGCCGCGCACGCCCCCCCCCCCCCCCCCCCGCCTTCGCGGGACTGGTGACGGCGGGCCGTCTCGCTAACAGCGTGGCGTGGCGCCCTGGTGGTGTAGACCAGGCGGCCTGATGGACTCACCGCATTACTGGGGAACTGTGCTGGACGTGGGCAGTCCCGAGACACGCCTGGACATACCGCATGACTGGGGAACTGTGCTGGACGTGGGCAGTCCCGAGACACGCCTGGACATGACATGGCCAGGTCGGGTGGCGTGGAGTGCTCTCTAAGACCATGCCTCGATAACACCCCCCTTCTACATTGGTCTGTGTTCTGAGCCTGCGCCTGTGTTCGGGCCATATCGCATGATGTTCTAGACAATACCTCAAGAGTGTAGAGATAGGCCGCTGTAGCTCAGTCACTACAAGGCCAGCTACTAACCTCCAGCGTGTCATCTGTGCCTTGTTTGGGTGTGTTTGAGTTTGAGTTTGAGTGAGTTTGAGTGAACATGCTTGAAATAACATGCATTCGCACATATGAATTTAACGTACGTGAGCATTGGCGACGACGGTCTTGCTGACATGAAGAGTCTGGACATCGACATCGTCGCAGTCTGAACATGAAGACCCTATGTGTCTCCAGCACACTCTGTCCGTTACTGCCGTCACTGCAGCTGCGGCAAATGTCGCCCCCCTGTCCAGGCCAGCCTGACCGATATTTCGAGCCTCTGATGAGTGCTGGCTCATGCTGACCCTGCCTAAGCTGTGCCGGCCCTGTCCGCAGGTCAGGCACACCACGAGCGGCGCGCCGCCCTGCACCCGAGCATGCGGGACGTGCCGCACGCGTCGCACGGTCCAGCACACGCCATGGGTCGACAGCCCAAGCGCGTGCTGGACCGCATGGCTAGGGTGAGCTGCAAGCGGCCGGCGGGCGGGCGGCCGGGTGGTGTGCGGATGGTGGGGTGTGTGCTAGTTGTGTGTGGGTGGTATGAGGCCTTTGACGAGAATTAAGTTGTGGGTAAGGTGATGGATGCTTCTTATCGGACATCTTGAGGTCAACCTTACTCGTAACGTAGCTATTGTTTTGTATCCTGCGGTCCTGAAAGTCATGGCGTTTCAAAAGAGTGATTTAACACGTGCTCTAACTCGTACGAAACACCCGAAGCATCTTCGGCGCCTGTCGTCACGCGGGCGGCCGTGTGGCCCCGGCTGCCGTCGCTGGGATCGGCACCTGACCCCACTTCGCCCTGTACCGGCAGCCGGGACCGCAACCGGGCAGCCGGCCGACGCCCGGCGGCTACGGCGCTGTGCCTCAGTCGACCAAGGCCACCGGCGCCATGGGTATTATCATGCCCATCTACACCATTGGCATCGTCCTCTTCTTCGTGTACACCATCATGAAGGTGGGAGCGGTAGCTGCCGGTGGGGACGTCCCGTCAAACATTGACCGTATGCAGAAAATCACGTGCCCCCACAGTGATGGTTGGCAGCACAAATATGCCCGTACTCAATGCGACGGTAACGACAACCAGAGACGCAGTGGTGGGTGTGGGTTTCAGTGAAAGATCGCCGAAGTGGACAGGCCGCATGGCTGTATTGATGTGACTAGACCCGGTCGCCCATACCAATTCCATACATTTGGCAAAAGCTTCTCAAATTCATTGTGGCTGGCACAAAGAGCAGGGTGCATGGTTCATCTGTAATCTGGCACCCAGCCAGCGCGTCTCCTTCATAAATATCCAGCTGCTTTGCTGTGGCAAAGCGAGAGGAAGGCGTCAAATTGTCTTGGCATTGATCGCGGTCGCGACTGAGCGGTTGAGGGCCACAGCAGAAGGCGGGCGTCCTCTAATGGAACGACCAGCCGGGCATACCGGCACGAATTCCACACGATCCGGCCCGGACGGTCACGTCCGCTTCGTTATAGACAGATGCATCGGCAAATGCCGGCACGGCCGTTTGAAATTGATCGATTGAAACGTGCTGCGAACCCTGGCGCTGCGGTGGGGCTTCTCTGCGGAGGCCCTGTTGACACTGCTCGGTCTCGGTGCTCAGATCTGTTCTTGACGACTTCGGGACGCGGAGAGTCACCACGGAGGCGCTAGTTGTTTGCTTGCGGCCGATATGTAGTCCGCGGCGACGGGCGATGCCAAGAATAGACTGGCAGCAGCGTACCGGCGCTGCTTCTAGGCGCCGCCGCCGCCTCCCGAGCGGGTCACGGCGAAGGCTATCTGGCAGCGCTGCTGTCTGGGAGCTTCTGGCGGTCGTTGGAAAAGTCGTAAGGATTGTTTGGCTGCAATTTCACCAGATTGCATGTGCCGCTGTCTACATGACAAACCGAAGTTAGTGAAACTGGCTCTGACTTCCACGTGTTTCAATGAGGTAGGCTTCACCTGCCATCGAATGAAACCTTGTATCCATGTCCTTGATTTGAGTGCTGTTGTCGGACGGAAGCGCCCTGCGTCTGCAGCATGACCTCTGATGGTGGCGCCGGCGACGCACTCGTCACGCCCTGTGGCGCACCGCGCTTGGGCCCCCTGAGCCGTGGGTGAGGCTCGTGTCCATCGGCCCCCTGAGCCGTGGGTGAGGCTCGTGCCCATCGGCCCCCTGAGCCGTGGGTGAGGCCCGTGCCCGCCGCGGCCCTCGAGAGCGGCCAGTCCCCGGTCGTCACGCACGGCCGCGTGCCGGGCCGTGTCACCGCCGGCGGCCCTCCGTCTCCGGTTCAGCTTTCCTGGCCTGTCGCCAGCCGACACCGAAATACCGCCGCCAGGCAGATACTGGGCCCTGTTGCCGAGAGTTGAGGGTCTGGGCAGGGGACGCGAGGTTGTGATGCAACCGGCGGCGCGGCACGTGATGGGCGCCTCGCGACGGCACTGTCAGGGGGTCATTGGGTCATGGTAGGGTCACGAGGGTCAGCCTGTGGTCTGAAGGGTCGGAGGCGGACGACGCATTGAAGACTCCATCAGTCAAGCGTGGCGACGTCTGCAGCGTATGATAAGCTGCATATATAAAGCCTATGACAACACCCGAGGAAAAGTGAATTTTACACCGCACTTTGACTTAATTTCTAAGACTGGTGACATGTCCCTTTTGGGCCTCGTGCCTCGTTCGTGCGATCCTTCTGGGATCTGGCACCCTGTGTTCCTGCTGGCCGCGTCTGTGCCCCTTGGTGGATATTATCACTTTGCTCCTGGCACTCAAATCATTTCTCATCTGCGATGGTTACTCGACACAGGAAGGTGTTGCCGGGCCCGGCTTTCCCCACACCATATGAGGATGCCCATGACTGTGCTCAGACGTGGCATAAGTCGCATTGCCATCTCTATCGGACTGCTGTCTTCGAATCCCTGTTTCACTGTTGCACACGTCACTATCTTCGGTGACGCCAGAGAAAAGTGGCGGTAGTTGCCCTGTTGCTTTCATCAGTTGACAGTCCCGTACAGTGCGACACACGCGTAATCACCTGCGCCTCAGGACTCGTGCTGTCAACCGGCTGGTTGCGGCCGAGCGGCCGGGACCAGCACTGCTGCGGTGGTTGTGCTGATCCGGTGTGAAACATGTGTGCCGGCATCGAGGTGATGCCGGCCTGGACTGACAGGGAAGCGCGTCCAGAGAGGGACATATCGCGAAGAGTAGGCAACATTCCGTTGTCAGGCTGCACAGTATTTGTTGTATGTTGGACAACTCCCCACATACATATCAAGGAGAGGGATGACATCCTCCAGAGGTCTGCTTGTCTCCCAGATCTCAGCGGACTGACAAACACCAAACAGTGATGGCCAGTCCCTGACATATACGCTTACATCACTGTCCACCACACACATCGTAAGAACAAACTGTCCACCATACACATCGTAAGAACAAACTGTCCACCATACACATCGTAAGAACAAACTGTCCACCATACACATCGTAAGAACAAACTGTCCACCATACACATCGTAAGAACAAACTGTCCACCATACACATCGTAAGAACAAACTTTAAACACGTACAATTATCAAGGAATACCAGACATGCGTAGTCTTTGCCACTACGGATGTTCAAAGCACCTGGCGGTTATCCGCTCGTCACAGTTTTGACCTAGCGCCGCTACATCACCTCCTCCCCTGACATGTCACTCTCGGAAGGTGACATGTCGAACGCCGTACCGCACTGGGGGGGGGGGGGGGGGGGGGACCACTTCGCCGGCCGGACGAACTGAGTGCGTCGGACCGTCCCCATTTGGCGGGAAGCGCTGGGTTTCGCTGCGCGGCGGCGTCTGGTGTCCGGGGAGATCCGAACGCATCTCGCTCCGCGTAGGCACGCACGGAGTAGTGGTCTGGTTTTGCCGCCCTGGTGACGGCAGCAGCACCAGCCGCGGGCCATCCACAGGAACTGCGCCTGCAGCCGGCGGGCGAGCTGGCCCGGATGGCGTCTCGCAGCTCGGTAGTGCGTTCAGGAAAGCTGGCTGGGTGCGGTCGACAGAGACAACTTCCTCTTTGTCCTTGCGCCGGATGGTCACTGCTTTCGATGACCGACTGCACACGTGGAATGGGGCGTCAAAGGGCGGCTCTAGCGGTGCGCGGGAGGCGTCTCGCCGGACGAAAACATGGGTGCAGTCCGAGAAGTATTGGCTATACCGGGCAGAGTTGCCTCATGGCTCGCCGGAGGAGGTCGACGTAGGACGCCGGATCCAGCGGTACCTTTCTTGGGTTGTGACTGAGGAACTCCCCTAGGAGCCGGAGCGTCGTACCGTAGACGAGCTCCGCAGACGTGCAACCCAGGTCCTCTTTTAGAGCTGAACGCACGTCCAGCAGAACCAGTGGCAGGAGATCGGTCCAACGAGTGGTCGCATCTGCCGCCTGCAGAGCTGTCTTCAGTTGTCGGTGGAACCTCTCCACCATGCCGCTGCTCTGCGGGTGATAGCTGGTGGTGCCATGCCTGGTGCAGCCAAGAAGCGCCGACAGGTGTCGCCACAGGCCGGACTCAAACCGGGCGCCGCGGTCAGTGGTGACCTGTGCCGGCGCTCGAAACCGAGCCACCCAGCCGGCGACGAAGGCGCGGGCGATCATGACCGCCCGGATGTCCGCCACAGGGATGGCTTCCACCCAGTGGGTGAACTGGTCGATGCACGTAAGCAGGTATGCGTGACCATCCGTCGGGGGCAGTAGCCCGACAGTGTCGATGTGGACAGCGCCAAATCGAGCGTCCAGTGGCGTGGAGCCGTGTGTCGGCGCCCGGGTGTGTGCCGATGAATCTTCGCACGTTGACACGAGGTTCACGCCCGTGTCCATTCCTTGATATCGCGACGCTTAGAAGGCCCTATAAAGCGCTGGGAGACGAGTTCTGGCGTGCTGCGAACTCCCAGGTGTGCCAGGCCGTGCAGAAGGTGGAAGTACTGCCGCCGAAAGCTTCTGGCACTAGAGGACGGTGCCTGCCCGTAGACTCATCCACCACGAGCTTGCAGCCACTCGTCAGCGGAACATCACGCAGGGCCGGTGGATGCGATGAGCTGATGAAGGTTGGAAGGTCGTCATCCTGACCTTGAGCGTCCGCCAGGGCATCCAGGTCGTCCAGTGGGGCTGCAGTGCCTGCAGCATGGCGATGGTCCGTGAAAGTGCGTCAGCGACAATGTTGTCCTTGCCCGGTACGTGTCTGATGCCAGTGGAGAACTGCCCGATGAAGTCGAGGTGCCGGATCTCCCTGCGCGAGTAATAAGTTTGACCCGATCGCGGACACCAGGGGCTTGTGATCCGTGAAGATGGCGAAGTTACGATCGACGCTGTGCTGGAAGTACCGGATCACCAGGTACACGGCGATAATTTCTCTGACGAAAGTGCTGTAACGAGTCTCCGCCGGCTTGAGACTCTTCGAGAAGAACGACAGAAGCTCCCAACGGCCAGCTACGAGCTGGTGAAGAACCGCTCCGACGCCAGTGTTGAAGCGTCGACCTGCAGACTTAGGGGCGCACCCGGTGTCGCGTGCGCGAGTCGGGTAGCATGCGCCAAATGCTGCTTAACCCGACGAAACGCTTGCTCAGTGTCGGGAGACCATGCGATGGGGCGGGGCTCTTCGAAGCGTTCTTGCTGAGCAGATTGATGAGTGTGGCCAGTAGAGCAGCGGCGTCGGGCACAGCACGATGGTAGTACGCCACCATTCCGATGAAACGCCGGAGCTGGTTCTCCTTAGTTGGTTCCGGAACATCCTGCACCGCAGATATTTTGTCTGGAAAGGGGCGATGCCGAGCTCAGTGACTTCGTGGCCGAGAAACTGAACTTTTTAGGTCCCGAACACACATTTATTTTCATGGATGACCAGCCCGAACTTGTCGAGTCGTTCGAGGACCATTTGAAGGTGTTCGAGATGCTCGTGCTCCGACGTGCTGGCGACCAGGATGTCGTCCAGGTAGACAAATGTCCCTGGC